TTACAATAGTATTTTATATTAGTTGAAGAACATTAAATACACATAAGAATCTATGCTATAATTGAAGTTTGTCAGTCAAAGAACTTAAAAACATTTGTACAAAATAAACTCTTGCTTTTGATTTTTTAATGATATGTAGAGGTAGTTACGAGCAACGGTTTTAAAAGTGCTCATAATAATGCTATCACTAATAAAAATAGCGCTAGTTTTATTGCTATAATTAGCCACATTTAATAATGTTCCTGTCTGTTGTTACAAGACTTCATTGAACAAAATTAATACATAATGAATGAATATGTGTTAAAGTGGATTTTACTTGGGTCCATGTTGAGTCATTGGAAGGAAGTAGTAACTCACACTAATAAAATGAAGTCATAAGTTTTAAGAATTATTTGATTGATTTTTACATTAACCACGTTTCTATTTAAAATTTGAACGTCATAAAACACAGTTTACAGTTATTACGACAGATTTATTGAGAATACATCGACTTGGTTATGAGAGTCGCAATTAACATGGTTTGACTAAAACATTCGACTGTGTCTGATATTGTAAAATTAATTTAGCACTGAAAATTTTTAGTGTCCAAGTCAGAGTTGACAAACTGTTGGACCCAGTAAGTTCCAAAACTGTAACTTGGACAAAATTTTAGACCAGTTATTCCCCAGTTTTGAATTGAAACCGTTTAGTAACGCTAATTATATCGTCAAATACCACACTATTTGATGTTCTACACGCTGGAATCTGTAGTAAAGTGACGTCCTGCGGAGAAAGTGAGGATAGTGGATGCCCCCTTTGGATCCGTGCAGGGCCGGTCCTGCCGGATCCAACACTAATGAGCAGGCCGCCCTGTCGCTGTCTGCGTGTAAGAACCCGCCATTACCTGCTTCATTAAGACGGACTAATATGACGTGATTGTCTCTTTCATACATATGTAACGCCCAATTACATACTCCCGACCATTATATCCGTTTACCTTATCACGCAACAATTTCGAATCACTAGTGTTGGCCTGCCAGGCAATTACCTTGACGTTTTTACGGTTTCTTTGGGAGAAGACGTTGCCGTCGCGACGAGGATTCGCCGTCAAATGAACTCAGAAAGGGTGACTTTTTTGGAGATTAAGTTGTAAGGTGTGACGTGTCTAGGTGGGTTTTCGAGGACATTGGCGAACTTAATTATCTGTGTTTAATGAAATGGTAACACTCTTAACGGGATTTATAATGACATCTTATTGGTTACTAATAGAGAACACAAAGTGATACTGAGCAAATTATTCGTATTTATATTGTACTCCAGCGGTTGTAAAAAGATAGCCCATAGATGATAGAAAAAAATGAAAGGAAGTAAAACTGACTTCAATTCAAAACTTATCCCTCGAATTATTAAATTTGATTTGGCCAGAATTTATTTATTTTATGATAACTCCAATAAGTTCTAAAAGTATATGCCAGGCACAGTGTATGAAAAAAAGTGAGTCCATTAGCCACAAGTTGTGTAAAAATTATATATAACCCACATAAGCTTTATGATGTGAAATTCTTGTTTAGGGTGTATTAAATCAAATTTATTTTTATGTAGTTTTCGGAAATGAAAAAGTTGTTCATATGAAATAGGCTTAAAATATTGATTTCATCATTCTACGTTATCTTTATATCGTTCTAAACAGTATTGAACTTAAACAGAACACAAAATAATTCAAATCAATGTCTAGATAAGATGCCAAAAAGATATCAATAATGTGTACAATGAATTATTAAAGTTGTTATTAAATTTGTTTTTTTTTTATATTGGTTTTTCCAGTTTTTAGAAATATTGAGAAACGACGCTAAGAAAACAATTCCTTTTATAATCTCCTTAATCCTTAAAAATCCGCTGAATTGCATAAGCTGCGTTACGATATTTTGTCAAATTTTGGACATCCATTTTGTGTCAGTCTCAACCTTGCGTGGTGACTAAGATCTAAAATATGCTCGTTTAGCAGCTTATTAATCTTATTAAAATGCAGGTATTGGCTTACAGGAACAAATATTCTTTCTTAATAGAATCTTCTACGAATTCTAACTGTCCGAGCGTTGGAGTAAAGAATGTGAAAAACACTAAATGAGACCCAGAATCCCCTCTGTATTGATTCCGTCGCTACTCAGTAATCCCGGTTTTATTAAAAAACAGAGACTTTTCCAAAAATCTAACCTCGCGGAAAACTGACCCACGGAAACTACGCAGCACATAGTTCAAGAGAAAAAAGACCTATTCTTTTGTTCTTTGAATTAAAATATCGAGGTATTACCACAAGATGAGTTCAGTGAAGTTTCATTTTTGGGCATGTAAATGAAGAAAAAAAGTCATCAGTGATGCATTAATGACAAGCGATTTGCATAAACCTACGTAAAAGAACAAAGGAAGGAATGCCTGTACAATACAGTCGTTTCTCGTTTCGCTACTTTTATTTTTCGCTTATTGGTTATTTGAGCATGTGCCATAGTATTTAGCCAAATACGAAAATAAATGTAAACTTTGTTTTGTCTGGGTGAATTTGAGCTGTCATTATTCTGTCAAAATACTTAACACATATAATTTGCTTGTCTGTTTGTGCATCCAGTATCGTTGGATTTGAATAATCATGTTTAATTCAAGAGTATAAAGGATGATTTTTTAGTCTTTGTTTACAAATTAGTGATTTCGAGCTAGGGCGGCATGCTCTTGCAGAATTATTTAAAAAAAAACTTTCAAGACTGTAGCATATTATTAACTTTTGGACTAACACTGCACTGCGCACACTCAAAAATTTCAAATGTATTCTTATTTTATTATTTTGTGTATACATTGTTGATTTTTATTTCTATTTGTTTCTTTTTTATTAATAGAATTGTAATAGAATTGTGTTAGCTGAGTGCAAAGACCCGAATAACTATTATTAATTCATTATTTTACACCAGGAATATTAATTACAAACAAGGTTGTTAACGAAATAAGTGAAAAACTATCAGTTTGTAGCGTCACTGGTTAGGAAATGGTTTCACTTGTCAACCACCTATAGTGTGAACTGGTCATGGTCATTAGTGTGATAAGTAAACAATTATTCGTCGGATACATTTAAAAGCTATTTCCTACTCACGTATTAGTTGAATCATAATTACATTTTGTCCACGCCGTAATTGAAATTTTCACAAAAACGTAAAATTTCCAACAGCATTGCAAAATTCCACCGAACTGTTGTGTTCCTCTTCAACAAAGACCGCACATCGTTGAATAACCTGAATGCCAATCTGCATAAATCTGTGAATGACTCAGACCAGTTTGGCCAATAATTGTTAAAATAATTGTTCACAATAGTCATCAAACTCCGCCGTACCAGCTAATAGCAGATCACCCAGTTACGATCAGTACCATCGGCCGATGACGCGCGCGCATCAACCAGTCATCTTTCATTAATTTGCAAAAAATTCATTAGGTCCTGTCAATGGTACGATTGATTGTTCAATTGACAGGTCCAAAAAGGAACTAAAACACGTGCAAGCCTGCGGCGACAGCGACAGAATCTAGGCTTCCTAAAAAACAGATTTGCATATCGAGTCAAAATCTAAAGAAAATAAGCAGTGTGTAGCCGCGCGCTGGATGACGCTCGCACCAACAAATAAACTCTTGTAAACCACAAAATACGAAAATCTGACACAGAATCGATCGTCACTGATGGAGTTCTTGCGGGGTATGACGTCATGGGGAGCATCCCAGATCCGGCGTCGGCGTCTGGAGACGCTGGGAGCAGGATGCGACGCCTTACGGGTTTTGGAAAGGTTGGTTCTACCTGTTCAGGTGAATCAAGAAACAAACAATGTTTATAAAATTTTGACGTTCTTGAAAATTTTGGGTCATGGACTTGGTGCAATTCGTAAACAAATCAAAATTTTAGATTCACCTAAATTAGTTTTTTTAGGTTTGCAGGTGAGCCAGAAATGCAAAGTCATCACTAGTCTTAACTTTTAAGAAAACGGAAATATTAGCTACTTTTTTTAAAATTTGGTTCTGCGCCTTTTACTTTTTCTGCATGAGAAGCCTTATAAGACAACTTTTAATTTAATAGGGGCGGAATTTTAAGAAAAAAATACATTGCTTCTTTTATTAAAAATTCTGATTAATGGCTTCTGTGTTTTTGATAATATTTAAATGTGAGCAAAATATTAGAATAAAATTATTGCAAATCCGATTTTTCCCAAAAAGTAAGGCGGGACAATAAGCCACAGACATATTATTTTGTAGAATTTAACTAGTGTTGATTTTGCAAAATTTTTAGACGTTCTTAGCGTATTTTGGTGAGAGAATCAGATAAATTTTTAAAATAAGTCTAATGAGATTAGGTTAGATATTGCATTCTAGTTATAAAAAGTTGAGAGTATTTTCATTTGTCAGTTTGCATTTAGTTTTTGCCTAGTATGAACGGGTCCAACAAAGTCCAAATTCTTCCAGTTTGTTGAATTTTATTTGATCCTTGTAATGCGGCGTAGAAATTAAAAGTAGTTTGCTTTTAAAATAATCGAAAAAACCGGAGCAGTTTTAGAGATTTAATAATTTGTAAAAATACTGATAAATACTGTAAAAAACATTGATGTAAATTATGTAAATACTTTATTATGAAACTGGACATTGTAGAAATATTTTTATGAAGGTCCTATAACGGGAAAATTCGTTTATGGCATTTTGCTAATTATTAAAAAAAAATGTTTATTTAGCTGCCCTATGAAAATGTTTGTTATTGTGCGTCGTGTAAAGTCTTGTTACATTTTCATTGTGTACGTCATTCGTGGAGTGGGGGAATAGACTCCATACATATAAAGCGGGATACTATCGCTACCGCACTGAATCACTCCTGATTAAGCTCACGAGAATCTATCTCTATAGTAAGAAAATCCGCCGACCATGTGTTTGTTATGACAGTTGTTGTAATGCTACAGTTCAGTATTAATTCAAGTAGATGGCTGTACTTTTCTCATCAGGTAATTATTTACATAGTGAGGTGACAAGTGTGTATAGAAATTTGGGACGATTAGTCATAGTGAGTGTCGCGTCGCAGTGCAACTTTGGTCCAGATCAATTCATCACAAAATTAATTTGTTAGTCGGTTGCCGACCGCACCATAACAAAATAGCATGTTTAGAAGAATGTGTCGGTCTCTCCTCGAGCCCATGCGACCGTTCTCGCAGTCCGTCCGCAACCGCGATACCTTGCGCTTCACGTAAATTGCATGCTCGTCCTCATGGTTCTCGTGCATGGTAAGCGCGGCCTGGGACCTGGATTTCACCGTGAGTCAGGCTCCGGGCGCCGCCACCACCTGTTGCGTCACTAACCGGACTTTTCCTTTCAGATTTCTTCAACTTCGCTGTATTCCTTATCGTCGCTGCGCTCCTCGACTCGCTCAACCCCGCAGCAGCAGCAGACCCTTGGTGGCAGAACTTGTGCACCGCAAAGCTACGCCACGGCAGGAGCGCCGACACCGCTGAATCCCTCGTCCACCACCAGCTCAAGATCTTCATGTCTAGGCTCCAGCATGACGTGAAAAAAGTCAACCAGCTCTACAATGTCAACAAGAGCAAAGCCAAAGCCATGCCCGTGTCCAAGCTCTCGTGGCTCAAGATCAAGAAGATGATCGGGGACATCACGAAGGCCAAACGGCGCTCGAAAAATGAAGTAAGTTTCACAGACGCTGAAGACTATCCCCGCTAACTAATTTTTTTTCGCAGGGCTTCAAGCAGTTTCACGAGTCTCTGCAGTACTTCGCTGCTACGTTGGAGGCTCTACGAAACGCGAAAATCAACCAGACGATCGTCACCGGTTTCCACGAAGAGAAACGCGACGAGATCTTTAAGGATGTTGCGGATCAGATGAAGGGTCTGTTATGTGAAGTTGAGTGCGCGATACGCGACGATAGTAATAATAATAACAAAGAACTTAAAATGGTTCCGTTCAGTAAAATTAAGTTTAATACGCTAGATCTGACGAGCGCTCAGATGACAGATATAAATTTTTTCAAAAGGACTATTATGTTTTTCAAGAGAGTTCAGCGAGTTTTTTTTCCCAAGGGGAAGTCAAAGAAAAAACCAAAAAAGGCCACAAGTGTTGGGAAAAGAAAGAAGAAGACAGTACAGTAACAGTGTAGATTAAGAAACGTCGAATCTCTTCAGTGACACTGGCTGTGATAAATTTAGTATTAATTTATTTATTTATTAACTTATTGTCAACTTATTTAAGAATAAAACATATTTTCTATACTCTCGCTTTTTATTTAGACACGTGTGCCACAAATCAGAGAAAAATATAACCCAGACAGCGTCCGGCAATCAATTTCACGGTACGTCTTGACCAAAATTTTGTTGACGTAAATTTACTTCCGCATTATCCTTTTTCCGGCACATCCTGATATTACATAAAATCAGCAAACGTAAGCGCCGATATCCGGGTCGCGTTCCGGACGCTCCGTGCTATTGTTCTTTTTTTTGTGCTAATTTATCGATGATTTTCTACAATTATTGTTAGGGAATTACCTGCGTTGAACTATCTCACAAATGTGTATCAACGAACTGCAAAACGTGCGATAAGCAATTATGCACGTCTCGCCGATGATATCACAATGATTAATACCATGTCTTAATTCCCGCATTCCTCGGATTTTCTTATGAAAATTGACAAATTTCTCTGAATTTCGAAACGAATTGTCCGTAAATTCCACTGGGGTTTTGTTTATTTACAAACCGTACAATTAATTGTCAAGACCTTGTAACAACTAAACGTATAAAATTAAAACAATTATTATTTGAATAACGCTGTTAATTGAACACAAAAAGAGTAATAAACACGCTATTAATCCGGTACGTTTAATAGATTTTCATTCAACTGGTGGTTTGGCAAAATGAACCGAACGAACACTGTAGTGCCATCTTTGGACACACTTTGAGCACTCGAGAAAGCATTCTGTTAAAGAATATAGTTATTTAAGAAAATCATAAGTTTTGTAGAATTTTTCCAAAGACTACTATACGCGTTTGTTTGGAATATACCATCTAACTTTTTGTCTACTGGTAATTTTCTTTTATATCTGTTTTTTGATGTTTCAGATGTTTAGTTTAGTTCAACCTGTGTAGGTGGCTCTGACTTTCAAAATTTCTTAAAACTTGCAAAAATTGCAAAAGATTGTTTTTAAACAGGACGAGTTCAGACAAGACACAACTTGTAATGTTTGATCGATAACAAAGCCGAATCTCAATCAATGAGTAATCTCATTGTTATTTACTTGTTGATTTTACTTTGATAAATGCAAGAGATGTTTATCTAATCTAGTATATTACTTTTTGCAACATTCCATAGCGATGAACACAAATTAACATTTTTGGTGAAATTCTGTGCAATACCTTTTGTGTGCATTCCAATGAATCACTTAGGTTATGTGACATCCGCACAAATGAATGAAGTATGAAATAAGTAAATAAAAATAGGAAAGGTGGTATCAATACATAGTTATTACAAATTTACTGCACAGATGTATTCAATAGTGACATAATTTTGGTCGACTGTCTATTAGAAATAAAATATTCTAGAACTTAAATTCTGCTTACTTTATTATAAAAAAAAAATGCTCATGGAGTTTCAACAAATATTCGAATCGTCTGTTTAAAAGTAATGTTTTTTAAATGTACAACAATTTTCGGGTAATAGTGTAAATACTATACGGTACGCTACATGCGATAATTGAATTATGCAATTAAAAATTAATTATTTATTTTGTTGAAATAAATTATTTTATTTAATTTATATGTTATATGTTATCTTAGTTATATTATTTTTCAAAATGGGCGCGAAGGTCAAGGACACGCAAAACCCAAAAATTTAGTCTTAACTGTGTAGTTTAGTATTTTTTTACACCTCCTTATTTTACTTTATCGACAATGCAATAGTGACTGATCTGTCACTTGAGACGTCAAGAATCGCATTAATTTTGAATCGTTTCTATGAGCGCGTTCTATCGCAATATTTATGATAGATTATGTTCTTACGGAGTGGGGAAGTTAGAAGAACAACTTAAAAGCACCCAGCAGAGATCCTAAAGGAACAGATTTATAAATATGCCCAGGATAAATGGTATGACAGTGACAAGAGCAAGAGGAATTATCCACCTATTTTTCAATATTCCTACCACTGTCAGTATAATCCAATTGAACTGGCGTGGGGCCAGTGTAAACTATATTACAATAAACATATTCGGGAACACGATGGTGCTATTGGTGTTGTACAGTCCTTAAGGCGGGAGGCTCTTGCTACAGTAGGTGCAGACAAATGGCAAAATTTTATTAGACATTGTGAACGGCTGATCACGGATGATTGGAAGCGTTTAATGGGTAATGCACCATATGAAGACATGCCCCCAATCATAATTTCTCTCGATTCTGATTCTGAATCAGAATGTTTTTCTAATAACTGTCAGCTTGTCACTTTTTCATTTGGCATTTAATGTCAACAACAATCAGCATTAAGCCCTCAATGCAAACGGCTCTAAAGTCCTTGCTATGTACAGCAGCAGTGTTGAAACATGAGAGTGAAAGCAATGTAAATTCTGTGTTTTCTGTTATATAACATATTATTTAGTTACATTCTCTTTTGTTTACAATATTATAGACGAGTACAACACAGATGCACAACAAAACGTGTTATTTACTGTAACGTCCGCGACCCTACAGTTTTGCGAGGGTTGTGATCTCCGCTAACTACACTGGTAAGTTGTCGACCTTGAAATTTGCTTAAATTTTGAAAAGACATATATAATATATTTATATATTTTCCCCAAAAAAAATTATCTTTGTCGCGCGTCTGGGTGTTATCATAAAAATTAAACTTGTTCGATCAAGTATATATAAACACTTTTTTTGAGTGATTACAACTGGTTGAATTGAATAAAGAAGTCTGACACAAAAATTAGGAATCTATCTTGCTACCACACAATGTTTAACATTTTTCTACTAGATGTCACGAGTGTAGATGTTCATTAGTCAATAGAAATCTGCTTAGTGGCCAGTTCAGATTGACTTTGTGTGCAATAAAATTAAATCTGCAAATTACTGTGGGTTTTTGTTAAAGTCGAAGAAGAAAAATATAACTGATCATAGAGAATTGATATCTTCATTTTTTTAATTGGTGAAACTGTTTTAAGATTCTTTTTGTAAAATGTGTTTACCATAGTGTACTTTTGTACAGTTTCCACTTTCCACAAAAAGTAAAATCATGGCATACCTTTATTATTCACCTTTGACCTAGGTCACTGTAGCTTTCACTTGCCGGAAAACACTTAGCTCTTCTTAAGTAACGTTGTCTTACACGCTGCACGGCAGGATAAACCAATTTCTTTTACAGCCCGATGTTACGTATTTTATTTGTGTTTAGTGGTTGAGACAGAATAAATGTTAATTGAATTAATTGTGGATTTGAAACACCACCAACATTGAGAGACGATTCTTCGTTGGATATATGTATGTAGTTTCAAAACAGACAGATGTGAAAGAACAAACGGGAAAATCTGTAATCGCTTAAAATTTTAAGAAGACACAATTCACAAAACAAGTCACAAAAAAAATCGAAGAAACTGAAATCAGTATAATCAACTGTTTTATGAACTTTTTTGCAGAATCTTTGAAAGGAAGACCACTGAGTTTTTAAATAGTGAAAACCAAAGCGAAACGGTGTATTGGAGTAAGACAGGTTACCTTCCATATTTCGTAATTTTGACGCACTGAAAATTAACACATGCTTGTTTCTCATGATCTAATTAAAAGCATACTGATACTGCACAAGAACTTATACATAATTTTCCTGGTCTCTGAAGCACAACAAATACCGCAAGTACAGTAGACGGTACCTATTTTTCATTTTGTTTGCAATAATCTTTGTACATTAAAAAAATAGGTGAAACCACTAACAGTGTGAAACAGTGACACTAATTGATACTCTATATATTTTTTCATAACTTATAAGTTACAATTTTTTTGTGTTTGCCTACGACATGCAACTTTTTCCGAGTTCATTAATGTACGATACTTTAATCACCCATATACCGTCACTGCCTTTGATTCGAAAGCCCTATATTACGAAAATACTTAATGTTAAATTATAACACGTATGTCAATTCCAATACGTGCAGTTTAATACTAATAATAACACAATGGCGTCTACTAGTCTTAATTTGATCAATAAAAAAGTGTAGATAAATAAAAATGTAACAGTGTAAGAAACAAAAAAGTTCTTACACTTCTTCAGTCATCAAAATGGAAAAGTTAGTGATGACTCATCACTAACTTTTCCATTTTGCTACCATTTCGTGCTGTTAATGCTCGGTTCTTTCGATCATCACTGCAGAAACTGATGGAACAGTAGACAATTTTCAAATATATTGGAGCAATTTCTTGTAAAATAATGACCTTCTTCTGTGAGAAATTTGATGACCCTTCTCTGTTTTTCAAAATTCTGTTCTTTTTAATAAAAGCAAACCAATTAATTTTGAAGCTTCTGAAAAGTAAGACAGCAAAAACTGTGCTTGTTTAATTCATAGGCAACTAAGATCGACAAATTTTTTCTCAGTCCCCTGGTACTAGTATAAAACGTTATAAAATTTCTACTGTTTTGTGAAAGTTTAGATACCTTGACGAAAACCTTAAGGCGGATTCATAAACCACAAGAATAGAAGTATGTTATTTTATAAAGTTTAAATCCTACTTACTATGAAAAATTTTGAAAGGACATCACGACACTGTTGACGGAACAGAAGATCTGTTTTTCGTCGAGAAAACTTTAAAGTAGCCAGTCGCTCGATGAACCGTATTACTTTCTCAGGTTACGCTTAGGCAGTAAAATGCGATCAAAGAACGTCATGGTTTTTTAAGGATTCGTCTTTGATGGAATTTTTATTTGGCAAATTAGCATCAATTTGAAAGTTTGAATTGAAACTAATGATCAAAGACAAATTTCAAAAATGGTCGTCTTTGGTTGTTTTTTTTATTGTTCAGTCGGTATAAGATTTAAAATATTTTCAAAATTTACTGTTGAAAGTAAAATTCTTCTCGGTGTAATCTTGGTTTCGATCTCAGCAATATATTTCTTATAAGAATTCTCTATACTTACGAGATTTACAACTAGGGTTTTATTTTTTATGTAACATATGAATCTTTTCTTTAATTTTTAAATTTATTAGTATTACTTTATGAAACCATGGTGGATATTTATGACGACG